GAGGAGCAGATTGCCCAAAAGCTTGCGGACGTCGACCGCGAGGGCCTCTGGGACACCGGGGGCGAACAATCGCAGATTCAAACGTGATCTTTCGGCGGTCCGCGCGGATTTCTTGCGCTGCGTCTCCCTCCCCGCACTCCTTCCCTGGAGCGCACAGCGCGCCGGGACTCGGAAGAAGAGAAGATACCCATACCGCTGCTCGTCCTGGAGAGCCCTCGTCGCCACGGCTGGATTCTCCTCGAACTTCTGGTCCGAAGGCACCCCAGGAGAGGTCCGTGGAGTGGCGGTATCGGTATTTTTTGATTCCCCCGGGGGCAGTGCCAGAGTCACCGCCTGGAGGTCCAGTCGGGTATCGAGTAATGGGGGTGCGATTCATGGGGGGGTGGAGAGGTGCACCTCTTGTGCCCTAAATGGGCCCGTACGGGGCCCCCTGGGGCCCAAAGGGTGCACAAAAGGTGCACGATCCTGTCCCATTTCTAATTTGTTCGCCGCGATCTGCAAAACGAACTTGGCAGGAAGCCACTGCCGTCGAACAACCGATTCCAGCGCACATGAAAATCGTTACTTCCGCATTATTGCCCAGTTGCAGGTGGACAGGTATCTCTACGGATTCCACCTGGAATATCTTGGAGCGACATTCAACAACAAACCAACCCTCGGATGAGCTCGCACACAATCGCGCCCCCCTGACTTGATCGGCCCCCCTTACAGTCAACCCGCATAGCAAGGATGAGCAACTTTCCAAGGTGACCCTTGCATCCCTGCCCCTTCGGCCCATCCTTGGCCGCTTCCTCCGGCCGCGCCCCGACCGCAAAGGGCCGACATGGCCCTCCCAGGCCCTTGCGCTTTCACAGCTGAAATTTATAGCAAAGACGGGCGGTAAGGACGCAAGGGCCTTGGACGCCGATGTTGGCACTTTTTAGGCGGCAGGCTGCCAACATCCTGAAGGGCTGGCCAATGAAAACCGCGAAGGACGGGCCGCAGAGGCAACGACGCAAGGATACCCTGAGGACACCCGTGCGTCCTTACTACGAGTTTTGACTGTACCGCGCGTCCTTCTTATCCGGGCTGATTGTAACTGATCGCCCGCTCCAGCGCCGACTCGAGGCCTCCGCGAGGACCCCCGGGTGGAGGGTTTCTCCGAAGGGCTCAGGCGACCCGTCCTCCTCCTCCTCCTCCTCCTCCTCCTCCTCCTCCTCCTCCTCCTCCCCTCCTCCTCCTCCTCCTTCTCCTCCACCTCCTCCATCTTCTTCACCTCCTCCTCCTCCTCCTCCTCCTCCTCCTCCTCCTCCTCCTCCTCCTCCTCCTCCTCCTCCTCCTCCTCCTCCTCCTCCTCCTCCTCCTCCTCCTCCTCCTCCTCCTCCTCCGCCGCGGGTCGCCCACGGCCCCGGGGGAAACCGTGCACCCCCGGGGGGCCCATTTCCTCCCCAGCGCCGCCCCTATGGCCGGGGCCAACCCGGGCCAGGCTCGCGTCCAGCACGCGCCGTCCTGCCCAGGCCAGGAGGGCGCACGCACCGGACCACAAAGAGGGGGGAAGCCCTCGAAAGCCCAGTCTTCGCCAGGGACTGGTTTTCCGAGGCAGGAATTTATACATGACCACCGCCTGGAGGATCAATTTTCGAGGACCTCGGCAGGCGGTGGATACGGACAGATTCGGGCCCCCAAGGGCCGAAATATATCCACATCCACCGCCCGCTGGGGCACCAGGACGTCGGTTCCCAGGTGGTGGAGGTGGATATGGATAAATCCCCGCCTCGAAGGTTTCCCCCCAAAGTTGGGGCGGGGGGGGGGGCCAGCCTTCGAAAGCCCAGGGTTCGCCAGGGACGACAGCCCTTCCAAATCGACGAGAACCCTTCCCAAACCCTCCCGAGACCTTCCGAGAAAAGTCTCCTGGAACCCTTCCCGGAGGATTTTCTAAGGCAAGCCAGTGTCGGCGTTGGCTTTTAAGCGACGTCGAGAAACGGGTCCGACTGCGCCCCGATATTCGCGCGTGGTCTGCCCGCGCAAGGTCGCGCGTACGTGCCCTCGTCCCCCGCGCGGTGTGCCGCGCTGCCGGCCCGCGCAAGCGCGGCGGCGTAATGTCGCTATGCCACCGCGCGTCAGGCCCGTTCCTTTTCGTCGCTCATAATCCCAGGCCCTCCGCCCCCTGTTTTTTTCACAGCGTGGACCTTCCTAGATCTCGACCCCCGCCTCCGGTGCTGGCGTTTGAGCCCGAGTCGTGTCCAGATGCCCAAAGTGTGTCGGTTACAGCCGTCCGATTGTGTGTTGTCTTTTACGGGCCCAAGAGGGGTTCTTTTTCGAATAGTGCACCGGTGCTCTTTATCCTTCTTCTCCTGGTCATCCCGCCTCCTGCCCTCCTGCCTTCTGCTTCCCAACTCCTCCTGTCTCCTTCCCCCTCCTCCTGGCCTCCTGCCTCGTCTCCTGGGCGCTGCCAACTGCTGCCCACCCCTCATCCTGCCTACTACCCCCTTCTGGCCTCATAGTATGCCCTCACGCCTCCTCCCTCGTACGTGCCTCCAACCTCGCCACCTGGACGCTGCCCAACTGCAGCCAACTGCGCAACAGCCGCCACTCTCCTGAGGTTCTGGGTGGTCCAACGGGGCGCCGTCTTACCCAGTCCTCGCCTCCCTGCGTCCTACCAACTGCGCAACTATCACCGCTCTCTCTGAGCAAGTGGGAGGTCCAGCGGAGTGCGGTCTCACCCAGATCATAAGGATATATCGCCTCATGCGCGCTGCCAGCTGAGCCTTTGTTGCCACTTTCGTAACTCCTGGGAGGTCTAGCGGAGTGCGGCCTTACCCAGATCCAGAGGAGACCCTGTCTCCCTGGGTGTTACCAACTTCTCATTTGCCGTCATTTTAGTGAGCTCCTGGGAGGTCCGTCCAAGGTAGTGCGATCTTACCCAGATCCAACTGGGACCTCGCCTCCCTGCGTGCTGCCCACTGCTCAACTGCCGCCGATTGCGTGAGCTCCAGGACGGCCAATCGGGATGCGACACCACCCACTTATCTGAATGAGACTTCGTCTCCCTGGGCGCTGCCAGCTTCGCAACTCTCACCTTTGGCAAGTTTGTGGGAGATCTGGCGGAGTATGGCCTGACTTATAGGTCCAAGTGAGACTTGGCCCCCCTGCGTGCTGTGAGCTTCGCAACCGTCGCCACTTTCATGATGTCCTGGAGGGAGGGCCCAGCGGAATGTAGTCTTATCCAAGGCCTAATGCTAATCAAATCCTGCCTCCCTGGGCAATGCCAGCTGCGCAACTGCCGCCACTTTCGTGAGCTCGTGGGTGGTCGGTTTTACCCAGATCCGAATAAGGCCTCGCCTCCCTGGGCGCTGCCAGCTGCGCAACTGTCGCCGCCTTCGTGAGTTCCTGGAAGGTCCAGCGGAGTGCTGTCTTACCCAGATCCCAAACGAGACCTAGCCTCCCTGGCCCCTGCCAGCTGCGCAACTGCATCCACTCTCCTGAGGTTGTGGGTGGTCCAGCGGGGTGTCGCATTTTCCAGGATGTCAATGAGTCCTCGCCTCCAACTGCACAACTGCACAATTGTCGCCACTTTCGTGAGCTAGTGCAGGTCCAGTGGAGTGCGGTCTTGCCAGATCCAATTGGGACCTCGCCTCCCTGCGTGCTGCCAACTGCGCACCAGCCGCGGGCGGCATTAACAGCCTCTGGCTGCACTTGCACGTCATGTTGCCTTCGGAAACTTGATAGATAGATTTATGCCTTCGTCATCGACAGTTTCGCCCAGGGATCGTCGGTTCACTTGGCGTCGCGCGTGCGGATTCCCAGTGCCCCCGCGAAGCAGCGGAACACAAACGACGATTACCCAATGACGTACGCAACCTTTTCTAAACATACGGCGAATAGATGTAGGGCCGCTTACTACAAATCGATTGAAGGAATCGCAGCGCGCATGAGCTCCCAGGCGTACACGAAATCAACAGGCAGGAATTGCAAGCTAGGGGCGGGGTCAGAAGCATGCGGAGAAGGGCAAAGGGGGGACCATGTTCAGTGACAGCAGCAGCTCCAAGCGCTACATATGCGGGGCAGAACAGCGCCATGCGCCCTGAAGCAAAATAGAGCGTCGCGCTGAGCGAGGCAAGCGCACGGGGTGGCATGGTGGGCCAGAGGCAGCTGAGGATGTGAGGCCACGCGAACAAACGACAGCGCCATGCGTTGTGTGGCGCAGCGGTCCCCTGCGAGCTGCGATGCGACAGCGCCGGGCGCTGCATGACGGGACAGCGCCGCGCGCTATGGGATCGCTGCCATTTTGGACGAGAGCAGTCGCCGTCAGTTGCAGTTCTAGTCGCCGCCCGCGCCAGTGAGGCGATGGCCGCAATTGCCGCGAACTCCCCTGAACCGCAGGCAGGTGCTTCCGTCAGCCGTGCAGGAATTGTTCCAGGCCGAGCTCGCGTTCCAACCTCTCCTGCCAGGAGGAGGCCAGGGAGCCGCGAGGTCTCTGCGGGATCTCCGTACCACTCCATTCCGCTGGACCTCCCAGGAGCCCACGAAAGTGGCGACAGCTTCACACTCAGCAGCCCCGCAGGGAGCCACAAGGTCTCAACTGGGTCCCCGCACCACTCCAGTTCACTGGACCTTTCAGGAACCCACGAAAGTGGCGGCAGCTTCACACTTCGCAGCCCCCCAGGAAGCCGCGAGGTCTCAACTGGGTCCCTCTGCTACGCCACTCCGCTGGACCTCCCAGGAGCCCACGAACGTGGCGACAGTTTCACACTTCGCAGCACCCCCCCCCCCTCCCAAGAGAGACGCGAGGTCTCAACTGGGCCCCGTGTAACTCCACTCCGCGCGACCTCCCAGGAGCCCACCAAAGTGGTGACAGTTTCACGCTTCGCAGCCCCACAAGGAGCCGCGAGGTCTCAACTGGGTCCCTCTGCTACGCCACTCCGCTGGACCTCCCAGGAGCCCACGAAGGTGGCGACAGTTTCACACTTCGCAGCGCCCCCCCCCCTCCCAAGAGAGACGCGAGGTCTCAACTGGGCCCCGTGTAACTCCACTCCGCGCGACCTCCCAGGAGCCCACCAAAGTGGTGACAGTTTCACGCTTCGCAGCCCCACAAGGAGCCGCGAGGTCTCAACTGGGTCTCCGTGCCACTCCACTCCGCTGGACTTCCCAGGAGCCCACGAAAGTGGCGACAGCTTCACACCTCGCATCCCCACGGAGGGCCGCGAGGTCTCGACGGGATTCCCATACCAGTCCACCCCGCTCGACCTCCCAGGAGCCCACGAACGTTGCGACAGTTACACACTGCGCAGCCCCCCAGGGAGCCGCGAGGTTTCGATTGGGATCCCGTACTATTCCATCCCGACGGATTTTCCAGGAGCGCACGAAAGTGGCGACATCTTCACATTTCGCAGTCCCACCAAGAACCGCGAGGTCTCGACGGGATCCCCGTGCCACTCCAGCCCACTCGACCTCCCAGGTGCTTTTGAAAGTGGCGACGGTTTCACACTTCGCAGCCCCCCAGGGAGCCGCGAGGTCTCATTTGCGTTCCCGTGTAACTCCACCCCGCGCGATTTCCCAGGATCCCACGAAGGTGGCGACAGCCTCACGTTTCGCAGCCCACCAGGGAGCCGCGTGGTCTCAACTGGGTCCCGGTGTAACTCCACTCCGCGCGACCTCCCAGGAGCCCACGAAAGTGGCGACAGTTTCATACTCGCAGCCCCCCAGAGGGCCGCGAGTTCTCAACTCGGCCCCGTGCAATCCCAGTCCGCGCTACCTCCCAGAAGCCACGAACGAGGCGACAGTTTCACGCTTCGCAGCCCCACAGGGAGCCGCGAGGTCTCAACTGTCCACCCCACCCTACTGGACTTCATAGGGGCCCACGAGCGTGGCAACAGTTTCACGCTTCGCAACCCCCCAGGGAGCCTCGAGTTCTCAACTGGGCCGCCGTGCAATCTCAGTCCGCGCGACCTCCCAGGAGCCCACGACAGTGGTGACACTTTCACGCTGCACAGCCCCACAGGGAGCCGCGAGGTCTCAACTGGGCCCCCGTGCCACTCCATTCCGCTGGACCTCCCAGAAGCACACGAACGTGGCGACAGCTTCACACTTCACTTCGCAACCCCCCCAAGGGAGCCGCGAGGCTTCAACTGGTCCCGTACCACTCCATTCAGCTGGACCTCCCAGGAGCCCACGACAGTGGCGACAGTTTCACACCTCGCAGCTTCCCAGGGAGCCGCGAGGTCTCAACTGGATCCTCGCACCACTCCACTCCGCTGGACATCCTAGAAGCCCACAAAAGTGGCAACAGTTTCACAATACGCAGCCCCGCAGGGAGCCGCGAGGTCTCAACTGGGTCCCCGTGTAACTCCACTCCGCGCGACTTCCCAGGAGCCCGCGAAACTAGCGACAGCGTCGCGCTTCGCAGCCCCTCAGGGAGCCATTCCGCTGGACCTCCCAGGAGGCAGGAGGCAAGAGGGGGAGGCAGGAGAGGGGAGGAGGGGGAGGAGGAGGGGAGACGCGACCACAATGCTCTAGTCAAAACGAGAACCCAACACAGGAGGTTTTGGGATAAACCTCACATGAGTCTCCATGTGGGAGCGTTCCTGCAATATCGAGGTGTCAGACGTCATCTTACCCTCCCCTTCTTGCTGTCAATGCCGGCCTCCTCCATCGTCTTCGTTTTCGCCCAGGTTCTCTTTTCCTCGCCCTCTAACCTTCTCATTTCTCTTCGCCAGCGTCGTCTTGCACTTTGACCCCTTCCTTGCCCTAACATCGGTATTGTCAGTTGCTCAACGAGTAGGATGACCATGTGGCGTCCAAAGGAGACCGCGTGCTATCACCGCACATTTGCACGATGGACCCGGCGATGTTTCCACTCGCTGATGGGTCGGGCACGTCCTTGGGCAATTCGTCCTGGATCGATGTCTGATGGCCCGGGGATCTGAGACAGAAAAAATTTTAAGGCCCAGATGGAATGAAGACACCAGGGCCGATCAGACCCGAGTGGGCGCACAGCGGGCGTCCTCCATTTTCTTCTAGGCCTACTAGATGGGGTCGGAGTAGACGGGGTCGGAGGATCGCGCCGCATCGTCGATGCATCGCTGATGCTGGTCGATGTAGGGCCCGATGTGCTTCACGTCGACGTCGCCGATGCATCGCCGACGTCGACGATGCATCGCCGGTGCATTACCGATGCATCACCGATGCATCGCCGATGCATCGGCGATGGGGCGCGATTCTCCGACCCGGTCTGCCCCGACCCCATCCGGGAGGCATGTATTTCTGTGGTCCTCAAGGACCGGCTGCCCCGCGACGTTCGCGGCTCCTTGTCGGACGCCTCGCGGGTGCGCTTTGTGGGTTGGCTGGGCCACGGCGTGACGAAGGCGCCGCCGCCGCGCTCGCTCTTCGTCCACGTCGTCTCCGCCGCCGCCATCGCCGTCGCCGACGTCGTTGTCACGGTCGTCGTCGTCGTGGTCGTCGTGGTCACGGTCGTCGTCGTCGTGGTCGTCGTCGTCGTCGTCGTCGTCGTCGTCGTCGTCGTTGGCGTGGTCGTTTGTCTTCCCCTTTCTTCCCGAGGAGGAGACGGAGGAGGAGGTTAGACGACCTTCCAGGAGGAGGAGAAGGAGGAGGACCTCATCCTTCTCCTCCTCCTGGGAGCGCGTGGCACAGCACTGGCCGCCCCTCCCGTGGCCGCTTCGACCCCCGAGCTCACGCGACCTGCGCCATCAGGAGCGCGCTGCCGTTCTCGCTATTGCATGGTCTGGGACGTTTTTGTTGTTCTCTTGGGCGTCCAGGGTTCATTTTGCCCCCAACCCGATCGGACTCGATTTCGATGGCTTCCGATTCGATTCGACTTCGGATTCTGGTTTGAATTCCGCTTCCCCAATGCAGGCCTTACCCGCTTGACGCTTCCCGCCGATTCGGTTTCTCCCGAAATGGCTGCCAATCTCCTCCGATCCAATTCATTTCTATCGCCGATTCGACTTATCGATTCGATTCTGGGCTCTCCTGGTGTCGGTGACACCAGCACCGTCGGCACAGCGTTCTCGGTCTAGCTCATTAGCGGGGCGGGGCGTTCGCAGACGCGTTACACTCCGCCCACGGGGCGGACGGTGCCGAGGTCCAGAGTCCTGGGGTTCCGCAGCCAGCGTGCCATCGCCACTGCAAGTGCGAGTCGGCCGAGACACCAGAGCGAGCTGCCACTGTCGCTCGAGCAACTCATTGCGTTGTTCCTCGCGATCGCGTTTTCTCGCTTTCAGGTCGTGCTGACGTGCGACCAGTCCAACGACGCAAGTGGGCGCCAGGGCCGTGCCGCCTGCAGCAGCGGCGACACCAACGCTGCCGAGGGCAGCGGGCGGATAGCAATTCCCGCGGGGGCCAGGAACGCCAATCATGAAGAGAACATTGGTAAAGTACGAGAGCGCGGGAGAGGAGTTGCATCACGAGCGGGCCCTGGAATTTCAATAACCCGTAGTAGCATCTCACTATAAGTCTTCTAATTCCTAATTATTAATAACCGTGATCATCTTCGTAATCCCTGCAACCCCCATCATCCCCATAATATCCAGGCCCGGTAGTCAGCTGCACAAGCCACACAGTCAAACCCACATGATCTTTACAAGTCTTATAATCCTTATTACCCTTCTACTCCCCACGCCCCCTACAAGTCTTATTTCCTGCGCGAGAGCAGGCAAGGGAACAAGGGTCCCGACGGCATGTACGCCCAACGCGCTCAGCATCCGAGGCTACAGCAGGGGTAGAAAGGCCTTCAGGCCCATTTTGCATGCGCAGCAAAATTTTCATAGCAACTCTGATCAATTTCAGTTCCAATTGTTTTGCTGAGCGTATGCTAGGAAAGCAACAGCAACAAACCGGGTCACCGCGGCGACCCTTCTTCCCACCACCGATTTCGAAGGCGCCTTCGGCCCGTGGCTCGCCGAAGGGACCGAGGTTGGCCGAGTTTGGTAAATCACCGCCGTCAGTGCAGTCACCAGCAGCTTCTGCAGGGGCAGCTTACGCAGCGGCCCTCCTCGCAGCGCCTTCCGTGTCGGTGCAGCTGCCAGGGCTGCGCCAATATAGCCTCGCAGGCGCTCTGTGGTGAGATGATTGCAGCGCTTGCGGCCCAGGCGGCCAGGAGAACCACGGAGGCAGGAGACTACATTCAGACTAAGATCGACAAACAGTCCAAAGGGCTTAGGCTATGTCAGCCTAGAGGTCTAGGTGTTCTGTTTAACCTCCTCTCCCCTCTCATCTGTGTGCCCTATGTGACAAACGTGCTCTCCACAGCCGCTTGGGCTTGCGGGGCACTGGCGTGCCCAAGGACTGTAGTGAATCTCGGGTGCTCCCGAGCGTGCCCAAAGGTATCCCTCGATCGTCTATGTGCCCTCACATACTCCCGTGCCAGCCGGCAATGGTAGCCGGAGCGTGGACGAGACCACAGGGGAGCAGGAGGGCATCGACGGGCATGGCTCGCAAGGCACCGCGGATGACGTTCAGTCCGACAAGCAGCCAGCAGCCTATGCGGGTCGACGAGACCCCGCAATCGACCAGTTCGGCGGCACAAATCCGTGGGAATAGCTCTCCACTCCTGCCAGGACGGCGTCGGCGGCAGCCGCCGACATGCCTCAGGACGGAGCCGCAGCCAGCTCGACATCCTGGGCGACCCCCGACTGGTGGACTTCAGGCTGGGACTGGCGACCCGACTGGAGACGGAGAGGATGGTCGTGGAGTAAGTCGTGGTCCTGTCCAGAAAAGATTGCGATTCTCTTCCAAACAAAGACTATTCAGCACCACCGCCGTGGCCCAGACTGGAGCATTTGCGGCTTGTCACTTCCTTCCAATATCAGCTCTTGGAGGGTCAGCACGGCAGACGAACTCGAGTTGCAAGCAGGACGAGTTCTGAAGACTTCTCCAGTGGAGTTACAGACTAAGTTCCAGGCGGTCAGGAGCTCCCTGGATTCCCTCGAGGGCCTCTCGCAGCTGATCCAACACATGGAGCGATAAAAGGGGCAACGCCCAGGAGACAGAGAGGGAGGCCCATGACGAAACCATGTTTGATGTCGCCATCAAGAATGGCGAGAGCCTCGCTGACTTTATTGTTAGAGGAGACAATCAGCTAGTGGCGGCCGAAAGAATCACAGGGTTGATATTGCCCGACTCCGTGAAGGCGAGGCACTACGAGGGGGGATGCGGCCCGATAGGGCAGGTTGAGAGATCTGTTGGACGGAGAGAAGGGCGCCCAGTCCGTCAGGAGTACGAGTTTGGAGCTTGACGTGTCCGAGCAGAGTTTCCTACCGAAGACGACGCTCACGACGGGCTCGAGGCTCAATTCCATGACCGCGTCGGGCCCGAGGGCAAGTTTCGCGGGGGGCCTCGGCGAGAAAGACGACGGAGTTCAATGCGTTGGTATATGCGACACAATGCGTAGGACGAGCTCTACGATATGTTTGCAGCCTTGGACGATCAGGGCTTTGCAGAAGAAGATATCGCTGACGCCATTGCCGAGGTCGCCACTGCCATCAGACACAAAACGCGGCAAGAGTCACGCTGGATGAAGAACACCAAGCCCGTGGATCGCGACTTCTTCGACCGACGATGAGAGGCCGAGGCAGGCGGCGGGGGCGAAGCTGGAAAGACTCGCTGCCCGCTGCGAGTGGACATCATGAAAAGATCCAGGTGCTCGGATTGCGGAACAAAAGGGCGCCGGAGAGAAGGCTGCAGGAAGCCGCTCAGGAGCAAGACAGATCGTTTGAAGGTCGAGGCGGACCAGAACCAGAGCCCATCTTACTTCTTCGAAGGATCGCGAGGTGCGGCCCATTCCGGGAGCTCCTTGGCCGCCATCCTGGACCTGCTGGGCGACGCGGGTCAGGCGGGCGCCGTCGAGATGGATCTTCAGGAGAACAACCAGGGCGACAAGGGCCAGGTGGGCTTTCTCACTCTCGGGGGCCCAGATTGGAAGGTGCGACGGGACGGGCGGGCTCGGCCATCATTCTCGGACCGTGGCCTGGAGTCAGACGAAGCGACCTCCGCGGCGGGAGCTCCCCGGGACATGGAAGGTCAAGATCGAGTGGGTACGGCCGCGGGACAAGCTTTAGCGGGGTCTCAGGACGTAGATCGGCTCGCGGGGGCTTCCCGCAGCCATGGCTTCGTGGCCCACATCAACGAAGACGTTTCTGACTTGCCCTCAGCCAACGGAGTCGGAGGCAAGACCGCTCCTGTCGGACGAGCTCTGGCGCCAGTGTCGACGCGCGGTTTTGGCGTTGCGCCCTCCATTGCTACTGGCCAGATATTTGGATTTTCTCACCGCAGCGGTGGACCTCGGGACCGACGAGGACAGGTCGTTCGAGGCAGCGCCCGACCCGCCCCCCGTAGCCCTTGGCTCGCACCCTCTGGGGTCAGCCGACATCTCCAGCCGCGCTCATCTGTCGCCAGCGAGGATGCCCGGGATGTCCGCGCGACCTCGAGCCAGGACAACGCGAATTTTGGTTGCGCCACTGGCAAGGGCAGCGCGCTCGTCGGGCGGAATGCTGGATCAGGGGCCCGAGAGTCTGGAGACGGTCCTGGAGGACGAGGACTGCGAGGTGGACGCCAATTGGGACGTGCCCTCGGCTCCCTGGGTTGACGGGGCGCCCAGGCAGATGAATTTCCAAGAGGAGACCGTGACCGACGTGGAGCAGACTCTCTCCCTGGACGGGGCCTTCGCGCTGTCGCGCCCGAGCCGTCTCTGGAGGCGCGGGGCCATCGAGCTGCTCGCGTACTTCGCACGGTGGCCGACGCGCGCCTCTAGGCCACGCTGGCACCGCAGGCCGGCCTCTTCGAGTGCGAGGTCAAGGGTGAGAAGCCAGATCAGGAGACGCGCCCCCGCCCGCTCGCGCTCCGCAGGTCGGGGGGAACCAGCGCGGGCGGCACGCTGGGCGTTCGAAGTGCAGGCCGAGGCAGGAGCTTGCCAGGGAGACCCCTCAGCAGATAGAGCAGACGCGCCGGGGCTGCCTGGCCCAGAGGGAGAAGGTCATCAAGATCGCCAACAAGAGGAGTACGCGGAGATCGGACCTCCCGCCGAGATGGGTCGGCCTGTCCCGCTGGCTCCACTGGCGCGCCCCCAGCCGCCGCCCGCCACGAGGCCGACCCCCGCGGGCAAGGCGGCGGGCCCACCAGGTCCGGCGTCGGCGCCAAAGTCAGCAGAGGGTCTGGCCGACCGACTTCGAGAGGAGTCAGCGGTTCACGATCGAGGACCGCGAGCTGAGAGGACAAGGCAGATGGGCGACCCGATCGCGGCCGTGCACCAGCTCCCCAGCACGACGCAGGCGACGATGAACCCCTCGGAGGAGCAGGCCTCGGACCGCGCGGTCTGAATCAGGCCGCAGACGGTCCAGGCACGGGCGCC